ACAGTGGAAAATAAAATCAAATTCCATCCATTCCCGGCCAATGTAAGAAATGGTATGAGACAACCAACAGAATACTTAATTAGGACCTGCCTCTAAGTACTGAAACCTCCTTTCACTTCAACTGAAACAAGACCCAGTTCTAACTAACTGAGAAATACAAATTCAGCTGGTGAATTAGTTGAGAAATATACACTAACTGGTCATCTCTAATGCCTTAGCCAGTTCTGTGCACTTTCTTGCCATGAAGGGATGTGTTTTAAGTGTGATGTCCCCAAATCCCTTTCCAAACAACATCAGTTAAGTTGAAAAGCTGTTCTTCTATTCGCAGAAAGAAACTGATCCATTGCAGAATTATAACTGTAAAACTGCAGCACTTCAAATTCAGCCTGCAGATTATGACACCATAACTTTCCAAGACAGACAAGTGACTCATCTGGAAAGGCAAACACTATTTTTGACATTTATACCTTATGAATTATTAACTGGTTTGCTGCATCTAGATTGATTTTGCATGAAAAGGAATTTCTGGCACATACCTTGAAGCTGAAAAGTGTACAGATAGGAACAGAACTCAGCAAAACTATCTAATTAACTAGTGCTGCTTAAAAGAGCAACTCCTGTCAGTATATTTCAAGTCAGAAAAAGATAAAATCAACAATAATTTGCAGGAAAATTTTCTTTCTGGAGAAAAAAACATAACTTTCATCTCTTTTGGAACATATTATGCTATCCTATTTCATTGTGGTTGCACTCCTCCCCCCAGAAGCAGAACAAAAGTGATGTCTAGTGCTTAAGAACATTTTAAACTGGAAAATTAAATGTGTCCTCATTCTTTCTGCTCAATACTTACTGAATTTCCTAACACAAATGTGAAAAACAAGCCCTATATCAAAATGTTTAGATAAACTGTTCACATTTAAGGACCTTTTGCAGCCAACAAAAACTGGAATTTAGGCACTGGAAAAGAATAACAATTGGTATATAATACCACTACTCACTAAAAAATCCAACTGAAATACCCAAAACTATGAAGAAGACAGAGGAAGACAAAAATATTTTAACAGTGTGAAGTGTTCTACTGCCATCAAAACAGAGGGGGAAAAGAGGGGCAAAGACAACATTTTTCTCTATTTTAGAATTTCTGCTTACAAAGGATTCAGTATAGTATCTCCTTTTGACAGAAATAACATATCCAAGGAAGCCAGGACCAAAACACAGCCCAGTGAAAATTACATCAATGCTAACAAGGATCCCAGCCAGTGGCACCTACCTAATCTGAAACAGATGTACATTCAGTTCACCAGCCCTCCCCCAGTGACAGGCTTATCAGACGAATCAGTGGTTGAATTTCTCATTCTTTCAGGAGGCCCTCTGGTATGACATGAAATGGCCTTTAAAGGCTGCCACTAGCAAGGTTACACTGCTGCTGTCTCAGCAGCACCTTTGCTGGGATCAAATAACACTTCTTTTTGGCAATGGGCAAAGAAAGCAAGAGCAAACTGCTGCCCCTTGGTGTGGACCCTGAGATGCTGTAACAACTACTTCACTACAATTTCAGTCTACAAAATGGAAAAAATTTTTTCAAAGCTTTTGAGTTATGAAGATACGGCTTCCATCATGGACACAAGAGCATCATCACTACTACATCAAGTACAACTACATATCCATGAATCATTCTGTTCAGGTCCACCACAGCGGTGTCAATTCACACTGAACTTCAACCAACCACTTATGATTTTTAATTTTCCACCATGCAGGTCTGTAGAGCCTCCATAAAGTGAAAGCTTGTGAAAAATGTTAGCAGAGTGAATATGAATTTCCCTCTTTTTTCTCTGCTTTGAGAGAAATAAAACCAACTCTTAGCACTTCTATGACAGACTGGAAGGATTCCTGTGACATTTTTATAGTCTCAGATTATAAAAAAGCTACTAATTTGCCTCCAAGATTAAGTCCAGGATTAGGGAAGAACTGGAGGCTAGGTAAAGGCTAGGTGAAGGCTAGGCAAACATCATCACAGTAATACCATGCTGTAGCTTGGTTTTCTTTCATATAAAGATATCATATATTTATTATCATAAATATCAGATATTTAAGAAAGGATCAGAACCACCACTGTCCATCAAGGGCCACTACATGAGAAGAAATTAAGAATGAGAGTCACAGAAATTTCTGGAAAGAAGCAAAAGGGAGACTTTTTAGTTCTAGGAGAGAAGGTTGTGTGGAGGATGTTTTGGTTGCCCTTGAGTGTACCACAGACTTTCACTGAGAAGAGGGCCATGAGCCTGCTTCATCAGGGCATTTCCCACTAAATGCTGCCCATACAGTTTCTCTTCAGATGTATTCATGGAGTGGTAACAGCTCCTTGTGGCCTGCAAAGTGGTTTTTCAACTTCTCCCCTCCTGTTGAGTTTATAAAACCCAAAGATTTCACTGGCACACTGCTAGGTCATGACAGTGTTCAAGATTCTCGACCCTCGACCCCTCACAAGAAATGTTAAAGATCAATCCAGCACCTCCCTCAGTTTTCAATTGACAGCTACATAAAAATACAGAATCTCCTGCACGGTAACCTCTGCAAAATCTGTTTGGACTAAACCCGCTTACGCTGCTTCAGCACTTTAATGAAGCACGCAATCAATCAGCATGCTAGTCATGAGGGCACATTTAAAAATTAAAGATACTGTTTTGCATGAATGACCAAGAGCAGCCAGTTCTTCCTTTTTGTGTAACACTTGCAGTTAAAATGGAAGCCAAGATATGAAACAAAAATCTGATGCAGGCTGTGTTTTGAGCATAGCATCCATGGGTATTCTTTGATTCCAGGGATTGCTGGGAGAAAATTTACAGATGTGTGTCCTTCAATGCTTCAGCTTTTATATACTCATACTTACATAAAAACATAAAGTGCACATATCAAGTGGAAAGATACTACGATAACAGATGCTTCAGAAATTGTCACACACACACACACACACAAAACTGCTTTGTACACAAAGCAGTTCAGTTACTCAGATTCAGAAACACGGTTTTTAACTGAAGCAAACTGTTTAAGCCATCAACAACTCAGAAAGGTTACACAGTATCCAACTAAAGGGCAATCTGGATTACAGTCAATTTTTCATCCTTTCAATTATGTAATATCAATAAAAGGACACATGGGAACTATGCCAAATGTGAACAATGTATCTGGCAATCAAGCTAGAGTGTACAAACAGAAGGAATTTCCCTACCTGCTGTAGAAATAATCCCCTCCACAGCTAAGTGAATATTTTTTCCAAAAATAGTCTTTATTTCCAGATCAAAAATTTGCTCCTTTTCCTTGATGTCAAAAAGTACCACTTTGCACTGAGAGACACCAACAGACTACGCTGGTGTATGCCTCTTGAAGAGAGGTTTCTAGCAGGCTATTGGGGCACTATCCTCACAGCCACACCACCCTGCAGATGGCTCTTCTTCCTGCTTCCTCAGCTTGCTCACAAGTTTTCACACCACAAGAGAAGGGAGTTCATGAAGTTCAGCATAAGCAACACATAGCACAGCGTTTGCACTAGGAAAAATTCAGCATTGTCCACCTTCCCAGACCAACTCCCATACCCACCTACCCTTACAAAGACATCCACCGAATTTGGTGGATGAGGCTGAGAGGAAATATGTAAGGAGATAAGCAGACCTACTGTGAATCCAGCTTTAATCACAGTCAGTTGGAAAAGACAGGTGATGCACTATCATTGGAAAAGCCTAGGCTGCACGCATGCACAGCTCCCACTCCACACTGCAGGACAGTTAGGAATATATTTTGAATACAACGTTGCCAAGGATTGAGGAAAATATTGATAACATGGAACAGTAACAATCAGTTAGTTGCAGTTAAAGAATCTAGCAAGTATAGAAATCACTTTGTATATAAGGGAGGATTGCTTCACCCATTCCAGTTTAAAACCTTTTTGCATACTTCTGACCAAGGAATTAAAAAAACATTCAGACAGATGAATCACAGTATAGAAATCATTTGACCAGGAGATTAATTTCCATCATACTCATATTCTTACAGCTTTCAATGGAACTGTTCCAAGTTTGTGGTGATGCACATCTTCAGAATATTTCTGTGTCTATGCTAATAAGCAGACACTCTGTCAGGACACTTTCTAAGCATATTAGCAATGTTTTCAGACTCAACTTCAACCCTGCCTTGGCCCTAATGTTCTCTTTTTTACAAATGAACCTGCTTATAATAAGTTCTGAATCACTGCAGAATTCCTATGAAGGCCACAGAATTTTGAGGGTAATAGCATAGCAAGGCGGGAGTCTCATTTGCTTCTTATTAGTCATCAGGGTCATTCTCACCAGGGCAATTCACAGGCTGCTTGTTAAAGAGGGAAGCACAGTACTTTCTACCTAAAAGTCAGGGCATCTAACAAGCTACTGAAAATGGTAAGTGGAGTGGAAGTAATTTCTTCAGATGCTTCTTTCAGTATCAAACCTTTTTCTCTATAAAGCTATATAAACTGGTTAATTTTCTCTTGGTGTTGAGATCAAATCGTGTTGTATCAAAAAAAGCAGAATACAGTGGTAGGAAATAAACAGGCTTTTAAATACTATAGGCTTTTGGTTCAAATCACCACATTTGGATTGCTATTTAAATGTCAGTCACATTTATTCAGTGGTTTCCAGGGGAACATCGGATGTGGCCATTCCCAGAATTTTTGTTCATTCCTTTCCCTATGAAATTATTACTTTCTGAAAGCTTAGTTTTGACTATGCCTCACAAGAATCATATTATGCAATGAAAGCACTGATGTGGAAACAAAGCTTGTTCTATTTTAAACCAATTCTGTTTAAATGCCCCAGACTGTCAAATTGGTATCATCCATAATGATTGTGGTAGTTTTAAAACTGTACACAAACCTGTAGAAGCAATATTCTCCCAGTCACACTGACAAAGAACTAATGGAAAAGGAGTCTGCAAGCGTAAATAAAAGGGAGCATTTGGTGGCACAGCACTTGGTTGCTCATTTCTGGAAAAACACTCTTCAATGCAATCTTCCTAGCTTCAGGATGTCTTACAGATTTGCAGCAGCACAGTTAACATTCAGATGGGGTTACTTCTCCTTCTTAGGTGCTCTGTGGACAATAGAATTAAATGAATAATCTAGCTTGCTCCATACTGGTCAATCTAGCATCTTGCAATTCTGTAGTAATGTCGTAACTTCCAGACTTACCCTGCTTTTACAAAGTCAGGAATATTTCTTCTAAACTTCATGAATCTGCACAGATATAAAACCATAAAAGTTTTCCTGAAAGGCAGAAGGGGGAACACACCACTCATTCTAGAAGGCACAAAGTATCCTCTTGCTTTTCAATAACTCACTGCTGTTGCATTTGGTGCATGAATTTGACAGGCATGGCTTTTGAACTGGCAATACTTCATGCAGGTTAGTTTGTCATTTTACAAGTGAAAAAAATTATGAATGAAAATAAAATGCTTACTTTGTATAAAACAACGTGGAAGACATATTATTTAAAGTTGATAGAAAGAAGACTTTGGAATGAAACAAAACCTTTTTCTATAACATTCAAATTGCACCACAAATTTACACTTCTCACTGGAATGGCATTATGTATTAATAGCACTGTACACTCATAAACTCTACTTGTTTACAGGGTTCTATTATTACAACAAAAATAATACCATTAAAGATAGAAAGAAATTAAACCAGAGAACTCAAGACTTCACAATGCTAAGCTGGGCTAAAGGACAGAGCAAGCTAAGAAATTATGAGAAATAACTTGTTCCTGATATGAATTAGGACTCTATTATGACAGCACATCATATATGTAAAGATAAGTAAGAACCAAATTAATAATTTAGAATTCTTAAAACTACGAATTTGTTTGGTTCTGTTTGTGAAGCTTTATTCACACCAACAATGACAATCTATATTTCTCCTGGAGTTTAATCGCTAGTCAAAGATTACCCCCTAGCTCAAGGTTATCACAACTAAATCCAGGATTTCTCACTCATACTGCAAACAAGCTAATAAACACTTTTGTCTTGCAACATACTTGTGAGTCATTCTCATGCATGAATGTATATTCATGGTCTGCATGAAACTAACTGTGAAAGCCAAGGCTGAGGCCAAAAATCCCTAGGTCATCAGATGCCAGGTTGCTAAATCTGGCATCAGAGACTTAATATTTTGGTTCCAGACAGCTAAAACTCTTCCTTCCTTCCAGATGACAGTATTGCTGACAATCAGTGTCAGAGTGTCATCTGAAGGACAAAACATCACGCATGGACCTTTCACACCATGCTCCCCCCAAAAGAGATGTTTATCTCTGCTGCTGCAGATGCATTCTCTTTAGCTTATAATAATGCAGAACCGAGACTTCTAGTATCCAAAAGTGAACTTCAGCTTGCCTGCTTCTTATATGTGGATGACACAGACACTGAAATTCTTATTTTCAGTACCAGAACTCAGTGCAGTATTGATGATTCCTGGCCTTCTGATGGCATTGTAAACAGCAGACGTAGAAACAACAGAGCAGCAGCAGCAAACAGTGCTGCAGGATGGGCTCAGACACCCCTAACTGCTCCTTACTGATCTCTTCTGAGTACAGCAGTTTTCTTATGAGACTTATTTTAACAACGATGCAACACAATGTGGCATTAAAGGTGAAACACAATGTCATTTAATGCCTACATGTGCCCATGCTGGAACTCGACATAACCCATTGCATTCAGAGTCATAGAATCATAGAATCAACTGGGTTGGAAAAGACCTCTGAGATCAAGTCCAACCCTTGATCCAACACCACCACTGCGGTTACCAGACCATGGCACTCAGTGCCACATCCAGTCTCATCTTAAAAACCTCCAGGGACGGTGAATCCACCACCTCCCTGGGCAGCCCATTCCAGTGTCTGATTATTCTCTCCACAAAAAAATTTCTTCCTAATATCCAACTTAAAACTTTTCCCAGCAGAGCTTAAGATCATGCCCTCTTGTCCGACTGCTGGTTGCCTGGGAGAAGAGACCGACACCCACCTGGCTACAACATAATAGGTACTGGCGTTAACTGGCAGGTATTGAAAATCAGAATTTGGACAAATACTTGTATTAAGGATCATTCTTTCAGGGAACACCTCCCCATAGTGCACAAGAGATGAGATGAAAGACATGAGATGCATGAGAAGGAGAAATACATGGGTGTTGAAAAGCATAACGGCAGAATATATCTTGTGTGTCCGCACCTACAGACTGCTTGCAGTGACCAGCTGCTACCTCAAGATGCCTGCAATAGCAATTAGTAGAAAATAACTGGAGATTTTGTATTTAGGTGCAAACCAAAAAAAGGCACATTGCACAGGTCTTGATCTCAGATCTCTAAATCCAACGCAGTTCCCTTGACATCTATGAAATCATTTTAGATTTTTGCCCAAAGTACGCTGAGTCAGAACCTGATTCAGGAATTGTACCCTTGCAGACAGTAACACACAGACTTTGTATTATGAAACAACTCGAAGACTGGTGGAACATCCCCCCTGACCTTCCTGCAATATCACACCATGCCTAAAGCAACAGAACCAAACCTCATTATTATTCGGATTTCAGCTGTAGTCTAGACCCAGAAAATAAAAAGGTCATGTTTATTGCTCTTTTCCCAAAGTCAGGAACGCCTGTGGAAAACACAGTGCACAGCCCTAGGCAGGGAAGGTTCGAGGGCCACGGTGGGTATCTGCCCCAGCAGCCACCCCCGCGGGCTCCAGGCGGGGAGGACAGGGCATCCCAGGAGCTTCTCCCGCATCCCTGCCCCAGTGCCGCAGCGCGGACGGGGCTGGGCGGCGAGGGGGGGCCCTCCGCAGCCGTGCACCGCGCACCCACGGACACCCGAGCAGACCCACCCCCTCCCGTGCACATCCACTACGCAAAATCCTTCACGCGGAGCCGTGACCCACTGGCGCACCACGCACACCCGTGCAGACACGCTCACACCCCCTCGCACGCTCGCTCATCACACACGACTGGCCACATCATCCACGATCCCACTCGCGGTGCAGTCGAATGGAAATCCGCGCACACCGCGCCCAGCGCACACCCGCACACACCCGTGCCCGCCCACGTACACGCCGGTCGCAGCCGAGAGGATCGCGGCGGCGCCGACTCACGCGCGGGGAGGGGGCGCGGTACCTGCGTGGCTTTGTGGAACTGCTTCTTCAGCCCGGCCACCGACATGGCGAGGGCGGTGCGCTGCAGTCGTGCGGAGCCGAGCCGAGCCGAGCCGAGCCGAGCCGAGCCGAGCCGAGCCGAGCCGAGCCGAGCCGAGGGGCGCCAGGGAGGTCCCGCCGCCGCTCAGCCGGACGCTCTCGCTGCCTCCCGCACCGCGGCCGGCGCAGGCTGTCAGGGGCGGTGCGGGAGCGCTGTGACGTCAGGGAGGAACGCACCGCCTCCTGCCTGCCCCCACCGGGCAGGTGCCCCGGCTGCCCTCGCTGCGCCGCTCCCGGGGCCCCACAGGGCCGCTGCTGCACCCCGCCCGGCCCGGGCACCCTGCACCGCCCCCTCGTTCCATGGGCAGCGCTCGCACACGCCCGTCCAGCGGTGGACTCCGCGTTCGTCCCGTGCGGGCACTCCCGGGGGCAGTATCCGCGCCCTGCCGCGTCTGTCTGGTTCACGGGCTTCTTGGTCCTCCACTCCCTGCGCGGACCTCGCCTCAGCGTCCTACCCGGCAGGGAGCGAGACGCCTGTCCCCGCGGGACATCATCCGCGGAAATGAACCCGAAGGGAAAAAATTGGCGGAGCAGTAATGGGGACAAGAGAGGAAAGCGATAGCAGAGGGAAGATCAACGTGGTTCAGATTCCTGAAGAAACGTTTCTAGTCATGCGAGTTTCTTTGTGCCTGATCGTGCCTTGTTGGATGGTAGTCGAACCCCGGCTAATTGGGATCCCTCAACAAGTGATGTTTTCTTCTCTCATTACAATGTCAGTGATGCATAGAAAAGCAAATCTAAAGCCTGTCCATTCCAGCTTGCAGGTGTGGCTGTTGGCTGGAGGGTAAAAGCCTAAAACCCCAGATAAAAGTCACGTACTTTAGCAGTTCAATGTTATAAGCAGTAGCAGAACAGTAATTAGTAATTATTAGGCTCTGCCAGGAAAAGACTAAACAACGTGAGCAATGTGATGCAAACACAATGATCCATCTCAGAAGGCTGGACAGTCACTGTGTGTGCTGCAAATTAACACAATCGAGTTGTACACACTCACACAAAGCTCTTGTCAGCTGTCTGAAAGCAGCCATGCTACGTTGGTGTTGTAATTACATCACAACAAACACTGATCACTCAAGCTAGTTTGATGTGGTGACTGCATTTTCAGAAGCACCTAAAGCTGTTTCTAAAATCTATGTGGGCATGCCATGGTGCTCCATTCAGGCTTGTTGCACCTAGCCAAGCTGCACGGATGCATGCGCTCTTTCACAGTTCTTGGAAGTGACTTAAAGTGAAGGAAAGGATCTCGAATGTGGGTGTCATATGAAAGGTGGGAGTTCAGATTTTTGCTCGTTGGTTCCCTGGGAAAGTTGAGACCCTGGTGTCCGACTGTCTGTCAACATCTCATAAAGAGGTGCTTCAGCAAGAGATTCACAATATCAGAGGGTATATGGAGCTCCCTTGTTAGGGGGAACTCAACAGAGCCAGGACCCCTCAGCGAGTCCTGCGAAGGTGTTGTACACCTCTGACCACTGCAATCATTCACCTTAACAGTTTACAGAATAACACTTTTTATTAATACAAATTCTGACAGGTTAATCAGGTTTGAAGGTTGACGGTGATAGTGTCTACTGCAAAAATATGTTTAAAGCAATCTACTGGTACATATATTAAGCAAGCACAAGCTCTGATATGAAGTGATATAATTAATATTCTATGGGGTAAGCAGAAGTGAAAGCTCTAGTCCTAAAAGCAGCCTTTAACAGACATAGAGCATATTTCTCACCCAAGGAGGGGAGAAAACAGACCCAGCCTGTTGACTGACCCCAGCAGTTTTGGTGGAGGTCTTCTCTCACTTTGCCCCTATCCCCAACTTACTTTTACACTATTTTCTTTATGTTTGGGTGAGTTTGAGTGGCTCTAGTCATAAATACTTTTTATTTCTGATTGGTGTACCTAATGGGAGGGGGGTGGTGGTTGTGGTTTGGCACCTGAGGAAGGGGTTTGACATGGCTGTTGGCTTCAGCAGCAGAACATTTTGATTCTCCCTTATCA